GAATGCTGTTCTGAGAACCCTACCTGGGATCGCTTCGCAAGATTCCTCTCTAAGGTTAAAACCACCAGCCCCTAAAATGGGCCCTTAACCCTGGGATCCTTGCATACTTACTATCTACCCCATATGTACCCTCATGGGTCCCTAGAATCCCCCCCCTTAAAAGGTCTAAGGGCCCATAGTAGGGGCCTTTAATTCTAACCTTTGATTTTCTGCTCTCTGGAGACGAAGCTGGCCAGTCCAGTGCCCGACTTGGAGCCTTCCAAAGAAATTCTGACTTGCCTTGCCCGATGCCAGGAAGTAGACGAACCTCTTTGTCTGAAAGCCACATGTTGCAACCGATGCCACTGAGGAACATCGAGAAGAAGGAGAAAGCGAGACTCCGGAAGTGCGACTGACAGTTTCTCTATCATTCTTGTAGCTTGCTATGCCGTCAGGCACGGTTTGTGGCAAGCGTTGGGGTTTTCAGGTCATGTGAGCTCTGTTGCCGAGCAATGCTGCATGCAGCCCTGGTTCAAAGCTTACTCGAAAAGTGCAGTTTTAGACCTTGAAGACTGCATTCAGGGGATGTGGGAAGTCCCTTTAGCGCCTGCTCGCGGAAGCAGCAAGAGCACTGCCAGCAAATTGCTGCGCTGCAGAAGGCCAGCAACGTCCAACAACAGAAGTTAGTGGCGAGGCGCCGGCAAGTCAAAGTCAGGGAGCTCAAGGCTCAGGCAAAACACTGCCCTGGGCAGTGGAGCGACCCCATACTTGGTAAGAGCAACGCCTGGCACCACTGCATCAAAGGTGCCTCTGCAAATAGTGCATGAAGAGTCTGATTCAGATCCCCACGATTTGTTCACATTGGTCAATCCGATGAAGCCAAGACCAAGACGGTTTATCGCAACGGAAAGATGAGTTTCACATGTCAGCAGCTTGCCTGGACCTCCTGTGCCACACGATCGATGGCAGAATAGAGTCCTTCCTCCAGGAACTTGCAGAAGAGTTCTGGCGCCCCCCGCTTTTCCGACAACGGTGCCAATAGGCAGCAGCTCCAGCATCTTCAAAAATACAGGTCTTCTTGTGAAGATATGGTGCTGCTGCCTATTGGCACGGTGGGCGGTATTACTGCTATTTGTAATACTATTATCTTCCTACTATTTTCATTCCTACTAATACTATTACTACTACTGTCATTATATTTCTAATGATGATGGTTCTTATTCCGCTGGGGCGCTGACTGGAAGGGTACCTGGAATTGGAGGCCTCTGCCGTGTCTCGTAGTCCAAAGCAGTACTTTAGAATCTAGTAGCAAAATGAATTCCAATAACCCTACAATCCCTATAGTTTCCATTTTCTTTTCCATTACCATATAATCCCTATAGTTTCCATTTCTGTTCCATTACCATATGATCCCTATAGTTTCAATTTTCTTTTCCATTACCATAT